TTCTTAAACTTTTCGGCTATCAAAGGCGTCAGATGGGTAAGGATTACATCCTTTATAAGTTCTTTATCGCTAGTTTCATACAAACTCTTATATTATACAGTCAACCCTCTATGCATGGTGGACAGGCTTTGTATCAGTTTTGAGAGGTTATCGGATTTAAAAACATCAGATTTGACAGGTTACAGGGTCGACTGTAAATAATTTTTATCAATATACAACTAATAAAAATTTTATTTAATAACAAGTTTTAAATATTTTTTATATAAAATTTATTAATAATTTTATTAGTATAATTATTTTTAATAGTATACTACGGGTAGTACATTAAATTTTGCAAAAATTACAATTTTAAAAAAAAAAATTTTTTTCTTAAAAGTTTTATTATTAATATTAAAAAAAATTAATTTATCAGATTTTTGTATATAAAATTTAATTTTAACAACTGTACTTAAGCCTTTCCTAATCTTTTTTTCAACTCATTTACCATATCACTACGTTTTATGGAAGCACCGCCACCTTCACCTTGTTCTTTAGACCTCATATCTTTAATTCTGACTTCACCTCGGTTTAATTCATCACGACCAATAATAACAGCAAAAGGAATTTGATCACGATCACATACTGAAAATTGAGGTTGTAATTTTGGTTTGTTCTTGTACATAAATTCGGCCTATCAGAGTGAAAAGAATTTTAAGATATTTAAAATTTGTATCAATTCTGGATTAGATAACGAAATACAACAAACCTTAATTCCAGCATCCCATAACTCTGAACATATCTTCATTCTATCTTCCAATAAACCATCAGCAACAGCCATTACATAAACTTCTACTTCGTTTGCCTTTACTTGTTCGAGTGTAACTTTTTGCAGCAAAATAGAAAATACTCTTTCTACACCTATAGAGACACCAACACATGGTATGTTACCCTTTTTATTACTGGCAAACATACCCACAAGATTATCGTAACGACCACCGGCAGCAATGGAGCCCACACCAACTGTTGTTTCATCAAGTTCATCGGAATCTTTTTTGGCCTTTCGAACAATTTGGTTTCCATCTTTGCTTTCTGCGCATAAAAATAAAGGAATATAGTACATCGATCGTTTTTAGACGCGTTTACAATAATCTATATTATCTGCTTACTAGGTGGTCCAGATTGATCAGTTACGGCTTCATAAATAATACCGGTATAGTAATCTAGTCCTCTGGCAAGACTAAGGTCGAAAGATATCTTTAAATACAAATAAATAATATAATAATGATGAATACGAACACAAATAAAGAATATTAATATAAAAGTCAAGAAATACTTTCAGCAAAAAATACCTTATCTAATACTCCAAATATTTCCAAATATTTAAAAAGGAGGGCCATGTCATTTAAACCGGCTTTAGCATTATTATTGGAAAGTAATGATTGGTCTAAAAACAACTTGTCCAAAAGTTCTTTACTGCCTAAAAAAATAATAATAATAATAAAAGTTAACGTCTAAATTTCACGACCTTAAAAATTGTTAAATGAACATACCTTTTAATTTAACGTATTCTCCTATGCGATCAGCAATGCTAGGATCTAAACCTTTCTCTTCTGTCATTTCTTTTCTGACATCCTCCCATGGCAACTAATAAAATCACATAAATATTAAGAAATGCTAAATAAAATAGTTATGCTAAATTAACTAATAAATTAGCAACATCTACCTTATCTAGTTTATCCACAGCGGAAGATATGGGTCTAATACTTGAGTCTGGAACACCACAAATTTGGAAAATTCCGTCTAATATTTTACGGTGATTTATCTAACAAAAAATTTATATCTGTGTTAAAGTCAAGTGAATATTTTGATGAATACTTTGAATATATAAAAAAAAACATTTACCTTAACAATGTAATCACCAACATCAAGGGCTGTTAAACATTCGCACATGATTTTCACAACTTCTGAATCAGCAATCATTGGATCAAAAACACCAGCTATATCAAAATCCTATTAAAATGATCCCACAACATAAAGAATCAATAAGTAATTATTAATTATGTGTTTTGCTTTGACCCACCCCCTAAAGTATTTATGTCAGCGCCCTTATTAAACACATAAATTTTTTATAAACCGATTTTCAACTTACACATTGATAGAATTCACGCATTCGACCTTTAGTCATGGCAGGTTGATCTCTTCTATAAACTTTTGCAATTTGATATCTTTTGATATTTTGATATTGAGAACCATTCATAGCCAAGAATCGAGCAAAAGGGACCTAAAAAAGAACAAAAATAATAAAAATATATATTAAATATATTTAAATGATTAATCATTTAAATGTTAACTCGTATAATAACGAAAGAATAACATACAGTTAAATCGTATCGTAAAGAACATTTTTCACCGCCTTGATCATCGAGATCGTAGATTAATTTACTATCTTCACCGTATTTTCCAGATAAAATTTCTTTCAATTCAAAAACAGGTGTATCAATAGTGACAGCACCGTGTTTTTTAAAGACAGAAACAATTGTAGAAAAGATTTTTTCACGAATTGCCATCTCTTTTTCGTTGTAATCTCGAGTACCCTATATCATATCACAAACAAACTTTAAAATGATAATAGAGATCTTTTGAAAGGAAATTGCGTAAAAGATTTACCAAACCATTTAATTGGAAAAAAAACCTACCTTTGCGGTTTTCAGAGTGAATTTGGTTTTACTCTTTGCAGCTCCATCTTCACCGGTTAAAGAAGCTAATTGTTTTTTTAAATCTAGAAGGGCGGCGATTTCAGCATCCACAGTGTCTTGGTCAGTGTTTAGTGATTTTAAAGCCCGAACCTTTTCGCCTTGGAGTTTGATTTTGGATTTGAGCCCTTGTATTTCCTCTCCATTCAAACCGTCTGTTTCCATTTTCGAAATGGTAAAACTAACAGTACACTTGTGTATTCCACTACTGCTATTTAAGCCTCAAATTAACCATAAGATCTTCCGCGGATATTGATGCATTGATTATCTCTGACAACGATTTGCATAAGAAACGTGTACTAACAAAAAGTTTTCGTCGAACGATTTTACTAGATGGTCTAACTTAATATGAATAAATTTTTTTTATTTATCGCGTAAGGTCAAAAAATCACATTTACAAGATATATTCAGATTCTATTAAATTTATTATTCGATTTAGAAAAATTTTATTTACATCTTTTATTTATCTTTATTAAAAAAAAAAAATAAAATAATGGACGGTCGTTGCTGGGAATCGAACCCAGTGTGAATCACCGACAGACAACGACTTAAAACCGTTTTTCTCTAAAAACGTAAA